CCGCGGCGGGGCGGCCTGAGGGGGCGGGGGGGGCAGGGCGAGCTCTGGGATACCGGGGGAAACCGGGAATTCCCCTCACCGGAGCTGGGGGGAAATGAAGCCAAGTTGTCTTGTCATGAAGGGGATGGCGGAGGTGGGACGCGGCGGCTTTGGAGGTGCTTCCCAGCCGTGACGGGATGCGGAGGAAGTGCCAGAAGTCGGTGGCCCTCGAGAAGTGGTTTCCTGAGGTAACGGCAAAGGTCACGTTCTGTGGTAGTTTAGCACCAAATAATTGTCCGAGCGGCAAAGGAAATCTGGCACTTCCAACAGCTACTACTGCCTTTAAGAAACAGAAAAAAACCCTACATTAAAAAACACTGACTTGATACAAACAAAGAGCGATGGCAAAGGAATGCAGAAATACCGGCCCTTTGCAGGCCATCCCTCAGGAAACCACTGCTAGGGCCAAGGTTTTGGAGCAGGTCAAGCAGCCTGAAGCAGGCAGTTTTTCTTTTTTGTATTTGGGCTTTTTACGTTCATGTTTCTCAAGAAGTTCAAGTGTTGGCAAGTAAGCAGGCTGCTGAGCCAATGTGAGAGGAAATTACATTTACCAAAAAAGCTGGTTTTCACTCTCACCTGTAACAATGGGTGTGAGAATCTAAGGGTTATGTTGCCTGGTCCTCGTGCAGAGAGGTTGTGTTAATAAGAGAGACCCACAGAAAACACTGGTCTGGTATAGAATCATGGAATTATTAAGATTGGAAAAGACCTCAAAGACCATCAAGCCCAATCAACACGTTTATATCAGAAATGAATGCAGAAATCCTGCTCTGAAACCTCTGCCTTACAGAATGGAAACACTCAGAGCTAACTGTAGTAGCTGTCTGACCACTGACTGATCCAGAAACATGTTCTCCCCCTTGCACAGACACAAGGCTTCTCCATTGCATACGGCAAATTTAATCAACAAACAAGACCTTTCACATTTGAGTTCTGACCCTCTGGGGAGCAAAGGAAACGCTGCCTTCAGTCAGAATAAGGACTCCTCTTGTCTGTGGCTCATGCAAGAGAGCTGCAGCTGCACGGGCTGCAAGAGAGCTGACACAGGAGGGGTCTGTTCAGGGAGGGAAAGGGAAAAAAAGGCCTCTGTCTCAGGAACAGTGAGGCTCTCATCTGTGTGATTTCACCCTTTCTGCTTTCTTTAGGAAACAGCAATCACAGGTCACAACTGCATAAATTCCATTAAAGGGCAGATTCTACAAAGCAATATGAATGTTGAGCTCTCACTGTAAATACAGTAGATGCAACCTGGAACACAAAACAGTATTTGTGTATGATGCTATTAGAAGGAAAGAGATTAACATTAACTCCAAGGTAGCTGACACACTTTCCTTGCCCCAATGCAAAGTTGGAAATGGGGAAGATCAGCCATTATGCAGCTGGCAGTGTTTTTTTTCTGTTAACCCCAAAGTCTTTGGAACAAAAGCAGCAGAGAATTTTCTGTGTTGCCTCTTGGCAATCCTGTAGGTTTCAAATATTCCTGAAGACAGAAACACATGTCTATTTAGACTGTAAGTCTTGAAGAGATTATTTTAGGACAGAATGACACTTGCCCTTTTGTCAATCTGTTTCCCAGTGCACTTTACATAGGTGCTTCATATTTCCCTTTAAAAGCATACATGGAGAGGCTGAGTCCAGTTCCTACGGAAATTTAAACAGTTGAACGGGATTTGCATCCAGTTAAATAGCCAGCTCATTTCCATGTGCATGAAGGCTATCCCTTGACAGAACAGAATTTCATATTTTCAGTATAATTTTCCAGTTTTGGGGTTTCATCAATCTCATGTTTGCTTTCAGCTCCAATTCCAGATAGTTCAAGGACGGGAAGATGGGTAAAAACCATCAAGCAATGCTTGCTGACCTCAACACAAGTGTTTGTTTCTGCAAACTGTTCAAATTGCATGGAGGAGCTCTTCCAATTCTTTGGATTCTGCTGCCAGGCTTAGAAAGGCACAGACTTACTCCCTGCTACACCACTAGGCTGACAGTGGTCAGAGCTGGGTCAGTGGAACAGCACAGAATGTAATTTTGCTTCAGGGAGATTCTGGAGGGACTATCTGGGGGTTATGCTCAGAAAAAAACATAGTATGGAAGAAGCCTCTACTGGTTTTCATCAGCTAGCTTAAAGCAGCCTGGTATCTATCACAGTGCTCTCTTCAGCTACCACAAGACAGACTTGTCTTCTTCCAGAAAGGCAGAGTGGCTTGACCACTGAGGAAGACCCCACTCCTAGACAAGGTCTCCCTCATTACCTCAGGCGCATCCAGGGGTAAAGCACAACTCCAGAATTCCCTGCTAGCTACCACAGGACACAAGAACAAGGTGGTACAAGACACCAAAATTAAAACAATGCACAAAGCTGATGCTTCCCTAGGTCATACGCCTAGGGTCATACACCTGGAATGTCAACCACTTATTAGGACTTAATCCCTGTAAGACTTTCCACCCAATCCTAGTAGCATGAAGAATATCCCATCTCCAACCCTTTCCCATCACCTCCCACTCTTCTTTAAGACACTGCATCTCAGTGAGTACACTTTTGGAACAGGGTCCAATGCTCTGCAAAACCCATTAATGCCATTTTTTAGAGCACACCATATTGGATATAATCCCAGTTCTCTCTTATCAAGAAACCAGAGGTATAAGACTTGAGTTTTCCAGTGCAGAACTTGTATGCACATAGAGGAGTGAGGGGAAGTGTTCAGGTAGGCTCAGTCCTATAATTATGGCAACCAGCTAGCTTCCCTCTGCATAGAGGGAAAAGTCACCTCCAGGGTACTGAAAAGGTTTTTTCTGCACTCTTTTATCTATACAAGAAAAGGTTGCTTGTATCCATGTAAGACATGTTCTAACTGGTGCCCAAATTACTACTGTAATTAATGAAAAACAGGATAAATGCACAATACTCATAAAAAAAATCTTTTTCAAGTGGATGCAGAATACACAGCAACATTTGAGGTAATTTTAGAGACACAGTGTGCAATTTCCATTTTAAAAGGATGCTGAAATATCATACTCCGCTCCAGAGCTAAAACTACACATGAAATGTGGATGACATACCTTGCAGCAAGAGACCAAAGAACTCAATCTGTTTTCTTTAAGAATCAAGAGGTCCTTAGATGGGATGTTTCTTACTGTTGTAAGAGTAAGCAGTTTATGTTTAGCAAACAAAGTAGTACCTTTCAGAGCTGGAAGCTGAAACTAGACAAATCCAAACCAGTAATTAGGTATGCAGATTTAGGAATGCATGCAATCAAAAGCTGAAACAACTTACCTGGGGTTTCAACAAATTCAATGTCATTTAAATTGGAACCTCCCCCTCCAGAAAAAAAATGCTGTGTCTCAAAGGATACTGGCTTGGTAAATCTCACACTGTGCAGTTTCTTTTATACACAAAGTCTGATACTGTGGTCATAATGACTTTAAGCTTCTATCAATGTAAAGCAAAGGGTGTGAAAACAAGTGTCATGTGCTTTACAAGTGTTGACTGCATTGCCTTGCTTTGTCTTTAGATAAATACAAACAGTGAAAACAGACTGAAGAAGTGTACTTGACCCAAGTGAATTGTGCAGTACATGTGCTTAGCACAGCTGTACAGAAGGTCCTGTGTTATCTGAAAAAGGCAATGACCAAGGTCACTGTAGTGCCAGAACATGTGGAAATTTTGGTGACATCAGAATGTTTGGGATGCTTGCTAGAATTGTTCTTGATTAATGGAGTGCATGGGTAGGATGTGTCATGATAGCAAATTTACTGATACAAGCTTCAGAGAGTAATACATGCAGGTTAAAAAAAATTATACTTAATGTATTAACCAACATGGCTATGAAATGCTGAAAAATTGTTAGCAACACTCTGCTTTATTAAAAGGTTTTTCTCTGCAGAACTTTTCCACAAGTGCCATTTCTAGATTTCATGTCGCCCTGCTCAAGGCTGCAATGAAATAAGTTAATAGTTTTAATTTTAAAAATAAAGAAGATAACCCTATCTCTTGGCATCTGCTTATATAAAACAAATTTGCTGTACTAATCTCACTTTAGTGGATCAGAAACAAACATACCAAAGATAAGGCAAATAAATTGTTTCTATTTAATCTCAGTCTAATTTGCCTGTCAATGTGAAGTTTACTATAAATCAAGACAGAAGGCAGCCTGAAGCATTAATTTATTTTGTGTCAACAAAAGGCTGATCTACACAAACCTGCTGCCAATTTTTTGTCTCTTCAAAATAAAAATGTACTCCTTGCTGGCAGGCAGAGCAAACGTACCTGAAAAAGGATGCATAGAATACTTTCAGCAAATCTTGCTC